AAAAAATGGCGGACAAAAAAAAATGGCGGACAGCCTTGCTTGGCGACCCCCGTGAAATGGTCGATCGACCCCAAATGGGGTCCCGACCCACAGGTTGAGAACCACTGCTCTGGACAATGCAATGATAAAGGGTATTTTGTTTGAAAGACACTGTGGAAGGGCATTTTCTGCAAATCAAACTAAAGGAGATGCTCATTCCCAGTTAAAGGCAATCGTACATTAGCAATGCAATCCCAGACCAATCCCAAACCACTCAACCTTTCCTTCTTCCCATATCTGGAACTGTTAACTCCTGCATTACTTCCTATTTTTTTACTAAATCTGCTGCTCTTGCTAGAAAGAAATGGAATAGGCTCTTCGCATCCTGTCAAGAAGAAAATACCATTGACAGAAGGAATACCTTTCTGAAGGAAACCCAACATTATTCCTATAGCTTCATTGCTATTGGCTCTATGTTATTATTCAACTTCAACACTAGGAGGCTATAGTGATATTGTATATCATTCTATCATCAGATAAACATATGATAGAAATGGACAGGACAATTCTTCTTCCTTATGTGAAAAAGGCATTATCACATCACATGTAAACAAAGTATATCTGCATTTGTCTAACATCCTTAAACTGCTATTATGTTTGGTTAGATTTCTGTTTCTGGGTATGAAAAAAACCTGAATGTTGTTGTTCCCTTACATGGTAACAAGAAACTTAGGTTGAAATATATGAATTAAAAATGGTGAAAGATGCACAAATTGCCTAATTTGTAATGACTGCTCTGGCAACCTCTTTTAAAATAACACTAATAAAAAAAATAAAATCCCAACTACTTCAAGAGACTTACCACTTCTTTCTTGTAACTAGGTAGGAAATTCAAAATGGTTAATTGATCAAATACAAAGGCATGGCAGAGTTTTGCAAGTCTGCAACCCATGAACTGTAATATAATTATTGATGAAGTACACACGATGAAAACTGAATAGCTCAATAAATTCATGGGCCTGTAATATTAATCACAGAGGTCTGACATATATAATTTCAAGATTAAAGCCAGATCCATGCTCTTTCTTGATGAAGAGGTTGTTATATATTCCTAAAAGGTTTTTTCAAGGAAGTAAGCATTTACATTTGGACAGTTTTATAGCCATGATTTAATTAAAAGAGTATGTTTAAGCAACAACAATGGCCCTTCTTCAGTCTTTCCCTTGAGATCAAGGTAATGAAAAGACTATGACATCAAAGTTACCATGACAACAGAAGTGTCACTAATGCTACACTATGACCTCATTAACTTTCAGTAGAAGATGCAACACTTGTTCTTTTAAAGCAGGGGTGTCAAACTCGCAACATCATGTGACGTGTCGTGACGTATCATGACTTTTTTTCCATTGCCGGCAATTGGGTGGGCACGGTTTCGGCATGACGCATCCGGCCCGCGGGCCGACAGTTTGACACCCGTTTTAAAGATATGGTAACTTTTAAATAACCTTTTCTAGCAACAATTAGTCTTTAAAAAGTGGTAACTTTTCCTGAATTTTTTTCTTCTTGACATTCATTTGTTGATCTCTGTAATAATGGTATCCTGGACAAAATAATATTAAAAATATTTCAGGCACGTTGTCTTTTGGGGAAACTAAACAGATTTACAATGTACAATATTATGATACTGGCATGCTGATTTAAATAAAAAGCTACAACTAGCTTTCAAAACTGAATTGTGGCTTATAAAGACGCAACACTCTGGTTCCTACATGAAAAAAGCCTTCATGAGATCTTAGCACTAATTGTTTTACCTGCCTCGTTTTCACAAATCCAAGAGAAATTACCAGAAATGGATACTATGTAACATTAAGTCAGAAGGAGTCTTAACATGTTTTCCAACTTAACATGTTTTCTAACTTACTTCATTAGAATGACTGATGCAGTATTTAAACTGGTATTTACAGAAATCCAGTGCTTGCTCATGCTCAGTCATATACTAAGAAATAACGAGTTTTTACCACTTCAAAAACACCTTGGTTTGCTTTTTTTCGAAGAAGACCAAGGGGAAATATTTGATTTGAGATTTAGCATGACAAATGTAAAGATAATGTCTCATTTAATACAGTATAACAGTAGGAAACACTCTTGCCACTTCCTTCATCTAGGATTTCAACTACTCAATTTAGTCTTAGTGTCTGAAGAATCAACCAAGTCTAACTCAGCTCAGCTTTTTAAGGTCAGCCAAGGTTAACAAGGGGTCATCCACTAGCTGGGTAGGATATATATGTATGGTGGAAAACTGATATACTAGAAATGCATAGTGCATCCTATTCCAAATTTGAGCATTTGGCTTCAAAAGGTGAGTTATTTCGATAGAAGGCTGCACAGTGTGAGATATTAAGAGCAAAGCACCTGTTTTCTAAGTGCTAAAGTAGCTTTGTCTTCCAGAAGGCATACAAAGCTGTTCCAGAAATATGTCCAGTTGTCCATGCATGGGACAACCAATGAAAAAAAGCAGCAGTGCATACATTCACATCTCCATACAACCAGGGATAGCCTTAGAAATACAGACAAGCTTCCTGGGAGACACAGTTGTTTTAATGCTTCAGGTATAGGTGCTTCAATCATACAACTGCAAAGTATGCAACTGCAAAGTATTTCATTTACAATTACAACTAACAAACCATTTAATTATAGTTCTCAATATTGTGATTAATCATTTGAAAACACCCATGGAAAAATCTCCAAGCTCATTTTGTTTTAAAGATACATATGCTGTGAACTAGACTACTTGCAATCACACTGAAATATTCCACGCTCTCAACAGTATATTTTAACATAGATGGCAGCTATTTCCTTTAGAGACTTCAGATGGGCATAGGACAACACCTTCTCCAAGTACATTACACTATAACTCCCTGAAAGTATGGCGATTGCTCCTTTCTTTCTAACTCAAAGGAAGCAATCAATGTTAAAACCATGTTAAAAGTCTGGATGAAAACAAATTAAAATCAAATCCAGACAAGACCAAGATGATGCTGATAAAGAAAATCTGATCTGATTTTTCTTTTGCTTTTTGTAAAGAAAAGGCTGGACTTCTGGGAGTGAGGTGAAATTGTTTTGGAAAGGGTTATAACACGTGTGTCAAACTCGATCACTTCATGTGATGTATCGTGACATATCGTGACATTTTTTGCCTTTGTGGAGCCTGGGTGGGCATGGCCTGCACATGACACATCTGGCCTGCGGGCGGCCAATTTGACATTCCTGGGTTATAACATTCAAGGTATATTTCTGCAATATGAGAGTGCTCCTTGTTCCTCGTCTGTCATTGGATTTTGTAGTCAGTAGTTGCAACAAGGAATGTTTTGGTACAATTATGGCTGATCTGCCAAATACAATCCTTCTTGAATGAGCCAAACATTGTGTTAGTTGTCCATACCTTGGATGACTCTTGCAGTATGCTCTATGTTGCATAAATATATCCACAAATTGCTATTGGTTCAAAATACAGAAATTATATGATTGCTTTATTGAAAAATTTGCACTAGCTGCCAGCTGCATATCAGGAACAATCAAATCTCATTTTTATTTTGTACAACTCAAAATAATGTCCATAATGCAACTAAAGTATTCTCTGTTGTTCTATAGTGCCCTAAATGACTTGGAGCGTGAATATCTGCTGAAGTACATCTCTCACGAGAGATCTGCCCAGCTAGTTAGATAAGAAGCCCTTCTGCAGGTGCCTTTACTATCACAGATTCAACTTTCAGGAAATACCTTCTTTTATTGGGTCCCAGGCTGTGGAATGTCCTCTTTAGAGAGATGTGCTTGGTCTCCACAGTGTTTAGGAGATTGGTAAAAACATAATTTCCATCAACTCTTTTAACACTTTTATCGTGAACTTAGTTTGGTGTTTTATTTATTTTAATTTTGACTGCAATAATGCACTTTTGTTTCCATGTTGTATGTTCTGTAGCAAGTATTTCAACTATCAAATTGCTAGAAAAACAGCGTATAAATCCAATAACCAATAATTAAATTATTTTAAGCTGTGCTGGCCAGGGAATTCTGGGAATTGAAGTCCATACATTTTAAAGTTGCCAAGTTTGGAGACCCCTATTCTAGGCCAGTGTATGTGGAGTGTAGCAGATTGGGAAAAGTTGTTCTAATATGCACATAGGGTTGCTCCTAATCTACCAGAAGACTGAATAACAGCAACACAGAAGAACCTGGGAAATGCCTCTACCTACTGTCCCTACCTCTGGAGGATAACTGAAAGAGCACACAGGAATTATCTGCAGTGATTGGAACTCAGCATTTTCTTTGTAGAATATCTTCCCTAACAGTTAAGTAACTACTGAAACAAGTAGTTAAGCAAAACTTAAGTTCAGTCCATGCCGGAATTCCAAGCGTGGCAAGCATGTCTATATACAGTATAGCAATGAAGTGGGATGGGAAGTCAACATCCAGATACCCTTGGAAATGTAATTTGTGTTATTGCACTGTTCATTTAGGCTTCTCATTTAATTTGGAGTTTTTTCTTTTGCATCTAGATTTCAATAAATAAAGCATGTATAAATTTGACATGAAACCTTACCTCAGAGTGAAAGTGCTGGATCACAAGAGCTAATACTTCTAATTTCCTATTGCTGTTTGCCAAACATTTCTTCAGCTGCTGGATAATTCCACTTTGGTTTTCACATTTTCTTTTGTATTGCGTCAACTCTTGCGTTTTTGTTTCTGCTTGTACTTCCTTAGAAGTCCTGGTCTGTAGACACGAATTCTTAGGACTCTTCTGTTTACCCTGGCCAACTGGAGAGGGGAAAAAAAAAGTTAAATCATGAATATAATCCAAATTAGCAAGACAAATGAAAACTACTCACAGCATGTTGCAGCATTCTTTTGATAGTTACAAGGAAAATAACTCATAAATTCAATTTTCTAAAGATTAATCATCTGTGTTTATAAGTGTTTCATTAAAATATTTCATTGCTATCTTCTACAATTAATATTCAACACTATCAATTATTTTGATCACCAAAATACTATTTTCCCACATTTGTATTTTAAGACATTTACAATAAATATTGGAAAGCCCTTTTGACACACACTAATGCATCTTTAGTGCTGCAATTTCAAATATGGCAAATTGTAGATGCACTTTATTCTCTAGACAATACTGGAGGCATACTTGACAATTTGCACAGTAAGCATTTTCGTGGATGCTTTTACGCTCTTAATGACTTTTATAATTACTGCCTTAATGTTGACATTGAACAGAAGGGTTTCCCATTAAATGTAGTTATTCTCCTTTTTTAAAAACAGTATCAGCATTTTATAGTAGAAAAAATTGTTTCCAAATAAGCCAGTCATTTTTTTTATCTAGAGCTTATTTGTTTTAACTATAGTTATATTCCTCCTTTTCTTTTGAGAGCTCAAGGCAACTTACATGTAGGTTTCCCCTCCCTGCCCAAATGTAAGTTATCCTACATAGTAAGCGGGACTAAAAAAACATCCAGTTAGTTTTATGGTTGAGATTTGTATCTGGGTCTCTCCACCTCATGTTCAACATTTTAGCCATTGCAATAATTTCATAGTTTTATAGAGAAAAATACAGTTCCTGACATCAATGGTATATAGAGCCCATGTAACACTATTGCTTATATACAGTACAACATGAATTGTGGAATTGATGACACTATCAAGTCCCTTCCTACAATTTCAAAATTGTATTGTGATTTTATGAACCTGTTCTCTGACAGTTATAAAGCATTCATTATTCACATCAAAGATGCAGCTTATTTGGTAATTTAAGCAACATTTCTAATTGAGGGGATTGCCTGAACTTTATTGTTATCTATCTTACTGAACATTTACTTCCAAATTACTTCCCAAGAAACGTTCTTATGAGCAATAATAAATTTCATCTTACGTTTTTGGTAAGAGTCTTACACAAGGTTGTGTCTAGACAGGGGGAAAAAGCTTTATTATGCTGTCTATTATTATTATTATACGTTAAAGATTGGGATTGCATTTGCAGAATTATTTGAATTGTTATATTCTTATCAACTATTATCAAATTGTTCATACAAAGTTTGATGCCCAACTACTGTATGGGTACAAATGATACGCAGTTCCAGTTTTGTATCATATTAAAAAAAACAATATAGTTTCAGAAATCCAGTGCAGCACTGAGACTAGATGTAAGACTTCCCAGGATGGAGATTAGGACTTGGCAGTGAATTCAGTTTATATGATTAATGATCATCCTGGCTTCATTCCTCTAATTACAGGGAATGCATTAAATCTATATATGGGATGCTACATAAAATGTTCCTAGTCAGTCTGTCTCCTGAGTTTCTGCTAAATTGGAGGTCGGACAAGGCCTAGAAATTAATCAGGAAATGGATTGGAGATATAGGGGTGCAGTATGAAATGAGCCATATTACAGGTAGTCCTTGACTTACAACAACAAATGAGCCCAAAATTTCTGCTGCTAAGTGAAACATTTGTTAAGTGACCTTTGCCCCATTTTATGAGCTTTCTTGTTACAGTTGTTAAGTAAATCACTGCAGCTGTTAAGTTAGTAACACAGTTGTTAAGTGAATCTGGTTTCCCCCTTGACTTTCCTTGTTAGGTGGTCACAGAAGCTGATCACATGACCCCAGGACACTGCAGCGGTCATAAATATGAGTCAGTTGCCAAGTGTCTGAATTTTGGTCACGTGCCCATGGGGGATCCTGCAATGGGCATAAGTCACTTTTTTTTCAGTGCTGCTCTAACTTCGAATGGTACTAAGTGAACTGTTGTAATTCGAGGACTTCCTGTACAAAGTTTCTGCTACTGCTAAGACCAATACAGAGGCTTGCAGCTACAAAGTATTTATATTCCCTTAGTTCTATTACAGACATCCTTTTACAAGGGCTCATTTTAACACTAATTTTAACAACTTCCCTTTAATACATTTTCCAGAACTTTCCAGCAATGTCCACATATATACGGGATGATTGACTCTGTCGATCATATTTTTCAGTTTGTGTTTTTTAAATCTGAATGGAGATGATCATTACTTCACTTATTATTAAAGAATTTCCCTAATCACAGTGAGCAATTTTATATAAGTTATATTATGGCTGACAGAAGCCCCGCATTCACCTATTCCGCAGCAAAATGTTGCTGTTTAAAAACAAGGATACTCCATGGCAAGGGACAGAACGACCACCTGTAGAAATTTTGTTTTTATGTGAAGACTGCTTTAAAATGTTTAAGGCCCATTTATTATAGCAGAAGCGCTATAGCAATCCAAGGATATCAATAAATATTGAAAATAAATTTCAAAGTTGCATTTCAAAGCAAGCTAACTTTCCATACTTTGTTATTGCATGAATCTAAAGCATGTTAAATTAGAAGCATCAAAGAATTATTGCAAAAAGGTTGCTTTCATAAAGTTCAAGTTTACATTGCATTAGCCTAGTTAACATCCAATAAGTCCATCCCTAAAATAAATATCTTTCTTTTGTAAGAAACTAATCTTGGGCATCATTGACATACCTTAAAACCTGAGCTTCTACTGCAGCACAACACTATTTTGTCAGTTTCTCTATTTAGACAAATTGTCTGAATAATTTCTGAGCCAGTGGTGGGATTCAAATATGTGAACAACCAGTTCTTTGTGTGGATGCCGCTTCCGGAAGTCCATTCTGGGCCTGGGCAACAAAAAATTAGCTACCGGTTCTGCCGAACTGGTGCGAACTGGCTGAATCCCACCACTGATCTGAACCGATTCTGAGACACATTTTGCTACTAAGTAAATTTATATGCACATACATGTAAAGATTTTTCATGTTGACTCTAGGCTATTTTATGATGAGTGAAAAGATAAATAATGAAACATAATAAATTAAGCAAAAAACTAAATCCAGAATGCTTGCCTTACTTATGTTCCGATGATGAATAGATTTCAGAAAAAAAGAATTACAGGCTTTTAAAACAACAAACCTGATCTACACTAACTTTGAATAATGACAATTCAACTACCAATATGAAAGAAATAAATATTTAAAGAACTGAGTAACATTTATACCTGACCCTTTTTTAATACACTTTATGCATTTATTTTATTCATGTATTTGTTACAGTAATTTGCAATAATGTACAAATTATCAGATTTGAATTTGTTGAAGTCATACTTAAATATTAATAAAAGGCATGATGGGAAACATGTTTTTATAATAAATAAAAATATAACAGAGCCAGTTTAGTCTAAAAGACTGTGAGTTCAAGTCCTGCCTTAGCCATGAAATCCACAGGGTGTCTTAGGGTCAGTTATTCTCTCTCAGCTCAACCCGCCTCACAGGGTTGTTGTTGTGGGGAAAATAGAAGAAGAGAGGTGGATATGTTTGCTGCCTTCAGTGATTTGTAAAAACAATAAAGGTGGGATTTAAATAAATAATACATATTTTATATAATTAACAGAAGAAAAATATTTTGGGGATTGGTACACCTAGTCACACATTTTAATAAAACTCCAAATACTGTTGCTTGAGTTATTAAATTGTGCTTTATAAACTTTCAATGTCATTCAAAGCTGCTTTAATTAGAAATTTAGTAGTTAGGAGGTAAAGAAACTTAGTCATATTCTTATCTTTAATTTGATAGTTGCATCAATTTGCTTATTTTCATCAGGACAATTCCACTGTGAATTATCAAAGGGCTCAGGGAACTTATAAATAAATGAAACATTGGGGGATATAAAGATGAACTAGTCTGTAACAGAATGTTGGAGGGTCACTATTAGGGTTGATTGTAGGTAGAATTATTACATTCCTAGTGGTTTCATCATTGTAATTTTGTCAGCACTCCCTTCCGTACAGTAAACTGTTTCTTCCTAACAAATGCCAACATTTGATTCCAAATATTGCCAAATGTTTGTGATTAGATACTCAGCCCCAAATACGATGAATAATTTTAATCAATACAGTGGAGTTCAGGTGCTACATAGAATCAATGGGTATTCACCTATTTTACTAGAATTGCAGTTTTGGGGAAACTATCCATAGAAATGGGTCATAAACTGTTCCATGAATTATCAAGTATTCTTGTTGGATCACTCTCACATACTACGTTAGAACTAACAGGGATTGCAGAGAAAGTTATTTGAGAATTTGGTGTTCACAAAGTTAATATACAGTATTCAGTAATTAAGAAACTCAACCTCTAAATTATGCTAATTATCCAAGCCCAGAGAAAGAACCCAGAACTGTGTGGATAGATAAAATACGCTTGCATTCTGGTACAAAGTTATAATTCAGTTGTCGCTAAAAATGTGAATGATTGTAGAGTAGCTGGGAAAATAATGGAACAGTGATTAGATATAAAGAATCAAAAATTAGAAGAGAACATGGTAGTCTATCCTACGAATGGAAATTCAGCAATGGCAAGAACCTTAATCAAGAATTTTTTGAGATCATTCAAAGGGACTCCCCTCTTATATATGAAGGGTGGGAAGTCCTTGCAGATTCTGTATTTACAGTATTTCAAGACTAGCATTAACAGGTACCTTACTGAAGTCTGTGTAATTCTTGCTTTCTTAGCATGCCAGCTATATGGTGTTTGATAGTAAAATACAATAAGATTAAGTAGGGATAGCTAGGCAAACATTTTTGTGAATTAAAAGTAATGGTTTTACTTCATGAGAATGTTTGATTAGTTATCCCTCAGTGTTTCTAAACCTTGATAACTTTAACATACAGTATGTGGACTTCAACTCCCAAAATTGCTTATGGTTCTTGCCAACTTTGCTCATGCACTTT